ATAGATATAATTTGTAGGTATAAAAGCAATGGTGGATTTTGATTAAAAAAATATATATATTAAAGGGGTTAGGATTAAAATCTTTACCTTTTGTTCAAATATAATCACTATCACTATGTTCTAATATTTTACAATTAAAATAAGATTATTTATGCTCATTATCTAATTAATTACAGTAATTTATTGTGTTGCTATTGATGTTTTGATGATAACACAAGTCAAATAAATGGAATAATGCCTTGTTGAGTTTTGTAGCTTATTCATTACAAGTTGCAGGAACTAGTTGAGGCAAGGAAATTAGAGCCAAAAGAATAAAGAGATTAGTTGCAATGTTCCTGTAAAGGAACTGAAGCTTCAGTGCTAAGGCTAAGGAAAGAAGACCCGGAGAAGAGACTTCTAAGAGAAAAATAAAGTCTGGAATATTTTATATTTTAAGTTTTATGTAAGTGAGTTTAATTGGGAATTAGTACTTAGTGGAATGCGTTTTGAATTTGTCAAAAAGATAGAATTTGTTAGATTGCTAGAAAATAGGAAAAACGGTTTTGGATAATATCTTTTCTGTTTTATCTTTTTAAATAATATCTTTTGATTTCAAAAAAATATCTTTGAAAAACTAACTTCCTAAACTTGTGCAACTAACTATTGATTCAGTCTTCACCACTTGCGTGCAAACTACTTCAAGAGGATCAACGTGTCCTGGTTTTTAAGACATGATTGAAAATCTGGAAGTGGTGGATAGTAGTGACGTTGATATGCAGCAGTAGTGGCTCAAGTGTTAGGAGTGGTGGCGTTTTTTCCAAGCATTGTTTTCCTATAAATACTGAAGTTACTTTTGGGATAACTTCACCTTGCTCAATTATAACTTTCTATCTTTCTTGTTTTCTAAAGAGTCAAGTGTCGCATTCCCTAAGTGTTTTTCTTAATTACGTTCACTAGAGTTATATAAATTTGAGTTGTAATTTGGGAATTGGGAGTTTGAGCGAACTCTAAGAGAAATCAGTTGAGAAAGAGAGAGAAGAGAATAGAGAAGAGAAGAGTGGCAAGTAGAGGGACTTGCTACTGGGAACTTCAAGTTCATAGAGGAACTTGAAGTATGATTCTTTAGTTTGTAATAGGTTGTTTGCCCTGTTATAGTGAGGAATCTTTCCTAAAATCCCAAGTAGTCGTGGTTTTTCCTCTTGTTAGGGCCAAGAGGTTTTCCACGTAAAATCTCTCTGTGTGATCTTAAAGTTCCTTTAGCTTTGTTTTATCAATTCCGCAAAAAGTTAGCTAAATTTCTCCAAACTACAATTCACCCCCCTCTTGTAGTATTCTTATAAAGCAACATATTGGGAGTCGGACCCCAAAAGCTCCGGTAAAAGGTCAACCATGTGACAAATTGACAATTCCTATAAAAACATATTATAATTAATCAGTACATGTAAATTATAATACCGGAGTAGTAAAATACAATCCTCTATAACAATCAATAATCATAATTCAAGCCATGCGATGTAAATTACGCATTATCAAATTATTATACAGACTATATCATACTTAAGCATCACAAATAAGCATTGAAGACAAAAGAGGATCAGAAGCTCCAACTAGTTTATTACCATCAACTTTACATTGCTGTAAACTTTGTACAACCCTTTCAGAGATCACTTCACCCGGTGTAATTATCGGAACACCGGGTGGAAATGGACATATCGATTCTCCACATATCTTTCCAATGGCGTCTTTGATACCAACGTACTTCTTCTTTGCAAAGAAAGCATCTCGTGGAGTGTGTTCTATCTTAATATTACTCCACGGTTCAAAATCAACGCGTTTATTAACTGAATGTGAGAGAGTATGAGACCTTTGATGATAACGCTGGATGAACGATGGTGACAATATAAAGTTCTTAAACCCTGAAATTAATTCCATAGTGTGAGAAATACTTTTAATATGTTTTTAAAGTATAATAATAGTATATTAATACCATAGTGTGAGAAATACTCTTAATATGTAGTATAGATATCTGAATTATTATAATAGATGGCCTATTACGTAAGAAAAGTTATGATGGTACCAATGAGAAATGCATTCAGATATCATAGTAAAATAGCATGCAAAATGTACGTTATACGAATTTTATGATACCGGTACACAATAGAACCGATGAACAATATGCATATGCATGATAGAATGGACTAGTGAATAATGGATTTGAAATATATGTTCATTTTGTTGTTGACATAATGATAATGATCAAAAGTTTATTATGGACCAGAAGTCCAATGAAATATGGATTTTTAAATCCACACTGTACAGTGTCTTGCATCATTTTGAGTCTTATGTTCATGTGCATGTAAGAGTCATAAGTTAATGGATATTATTGCATATATAGGAAGTTGTTAGATGCATTACTCATTGTATATTTGTTAATATGTTATCATATTTTCTATATCTCATATTGCATGCATTAATTTCTTACAATAACTGTGGTGTATGTAAATGTTCATTCAAAGTATAGTAAGATATGTTTACAACTTTGATGAAAAATTAGAAAGAGATATTTATATTCCAGTGGGCTTACACTAGTGATGAAATTATTGATGACGTCGTTTTAATAATAGTTTGTTATGATTCATGTAAGACGAGTTCCTGAAGAACTTATATACGACGTATTTAAATACCCAGCCCTACATATTTTATATCTTGAATATTACAATTATTATCAAAGTCATGGAAAGCCAATATGACTAGCTGCATCACCGATATCTCAACCTGAAGTTTGAGTATGTGAGATTCAACAAGTCTATGTATTCATTGGCGAACTCTCATATAAAACATGAGATGTCTAATTGAAGAATAAAGTTGAGACACCATTGTGTGAGAATAATATTTTTATGGTCCAGAAGAGCCATGAGCAAAATATGTAATTAGTTTAATTTCTTAATTCATATGAAACTGGAAAATGAAATATACTGGTATATGATATCAAGTGTTGCCATGAAATTATGTTTGGATAAATCAATTACTAATCATCATTTTGTAGTATATATGACCTCAAGAAGAAGGCAAATATCTACTTGTTATGATAATTTGAAACAAAACTATTGAATAAAATAGTGGTAAACAATTGTATTTTTTCCACAAGTATGAAGAAATGAAGATGACTCAATAAGTCCATGTGAAAATTTGAAGATTCAAGTTCAATTTGAAATGATCAATCATCAAGAAATGGTGTTCTGCTACATGGAAGAAGTTACCCAACCATATCGTGTCGGATTTATTGCACTCGAATTGAAAATTTCACGATAATATGTTATGTATTCATCAGGGGGAGAAAATACGCTTGCACTCTTTTTTCCTTAACCATGGTTTTGTCCCACATTGGGTTTTCCTGGTAAGGTTTTTAATGAGGCAGCATTGCAAGTGTATTACGAAGAATGATGTACTTTTTTTCCTTTACTATGTTTTTATCCCACGGGGTTTTTCGTAGTAAGGTTTTAACGAGGCACAATCTTCGATAATGGACATCCAAGGGGGAGTGTTATGAAATATAGTGTGGATGCCCATTGTACTCCTTGTATTATTCTAGAAATATTCTAGATAGGTCGTCTAGGGTTTATATTCTTATCTAAGCAAACCCTATTTATATTGTATTTATATATATACCCCAAGATATGGAATAGAACACACTGATCGATTCTCTCTCAATCTCTCTCACATTTCTCCTAATTTTATAACACCTACGTAGTATTTTTATATATTATCCAATTTCTTTTTAGGACATTATGAACAATTACCTTTCCTTTTATTTCCGCCTACATTGAACCTTCTTCTATACTTTTGTCGAAGTACTCCTTCCATGTTTAAATAAATAAAACATTTTCCTCTTTCAAACATGTTTAAATAAGTAGTAAATGAAACATTTCTTTCTTTAGTAACTCCTCTTTATTTTTTTAATAATATTCTCTCTTTTAGCATAATAATATTCTACTCCGTACTAATTAATGGTCCTACAAAACTTCTTACGTATTTCTCTATTTTCAAACTTATACCCTGCTACCTATTTTTTTTTCAAATAGATTCATCTAACTTTCTGAAACTCCGTAAAAGGCAAAATATTTCATTTATTTAAATTAAATACGGAGGGAGTACTACCGTTAAACTAATCTTTAAAATCTCTACTCTTCCTATTGGGAGTTGGGACTTCTATAATGGCTAGGAGCATATATAACTTGCTCCAATATCATGAAACTCTTCATTGGGCTAAACCAGGCCCACATCAAAGAAGAACTTTACCACTTGAGAGTTTTAAGCCTTGTAATATTTAGGGTCATAGGTCAGTCATATGACTCATATCCCATATTATTCTTTGATGCAAGTTTAAATAGGCAAATCAATAGTACTCATATAATTAGTTTTATCACATCCAGTCTACAATTGATTTACTAATTATGATAGTCTTAAATTTAGAATAGTAGGTTAGCTTTAGTCCTTTCAAACATATAGCTAAAAGTTAAGTTTCACTAATCTCATTTTATGATATATTTATATAACATTCTCCCAGCCAATTGACTTAATTGGAAAATAAATAAAAAAAAAACTTTAGTGACAATTTGATAAATAAATTAATTCATGCGACAATTTGGTAAAAAAAATTAATCCTAAGCGATAATTTGGTAAATAAAATTATCTCATGCGACATTCTCCCTCATAATACGAGCACTGTCCTCACCAAAAAAAAAACACACGCTCGCAAATCAAACTAGAAAAATTATATCATCACCAAAATACCACCTATACAGCTTTATCCTGATTGAACTGAATATATATGAGCAACATGTTTACCACCACCTTTTTTTGGATGAGCAATGTGATGAAAATAACATTGAAGAACAAAATCTTACAATAAAACAACTAAAGATATAAAAAAAATACATGCTTGTTCTTAACTCTAGCTCACTGTCATCTTTAATAAATAAATATCATGTAAAAGATATTATGTAAGGTAAATCATACATTTAAACATCACAAATAAGCATTGACGACAAAAGAGGATCAGAAGCTCCAACTAGTGTAGTACTATCAGCTTTACATCGCTGTAAAATTTGTACAACCCTTTCAGAGACCACTTCACCCGGTGTAATTATCGGAACACCGGGTGGAAATGGACATATCGATTCCCCACATATCTTTCCAATGGCGTCTTTGATACCAACGTACTTGTTCTTTGCAAAGAAAGCATCTCGTGGAGTGAGTTCCATCTTAATATCACTCCACGGTTCAAAGTCAACACGTTTATTGACAGAATGTGAGAGAGTATGAGACCTTTGATGATAACGCTGGATGAACGTTGGTGACAATATAAAGTTCTTAAACCCTGAAATTAGCCTATCTACATGCTCTTTACAAGTTCCTGGAAGGATTGGAAATGTGATAAATCGCGATCCAAGTAGCTCAGACACCACCTTTTGATCCATATATAAGAAGTAATCAACTTCATAGCCAGAAAAAAAGAGATTAAAGACTCCAATAGTAACCCGTAAGGGATCCATGTACGGGTAATCAAACACGGCATAGCCTGGAATTTGTTTAATTTCTTGTTTAACCTCGGTTGCTAAATTGATGGCATTGTCGAAAATGGTGTGAGATTTTTGTTTCAGATAATGTGTAGTAGCATCTAGTGAAGCTAAGAGTAAAGGACTTGGACTAGTGGTTTGTAGGCTACTAATGCATTTGCCTATTTTTTCCTTGTCTATAAGAGTAGTACTATTATGAGACACATGTAACATGGATGACTGAGTTAGGGAGAATAGCACTTTATGTGTGGATAGGACAACCACGTCGGCACCTTGTTGGAGGGCCGGTGAAGGAAGGGACGGGTGAAACCCGAAATGAGCACCGTGTGCCTCGTCTACGATAAGAGGTATGTTATGGAGGTGACATAGTGTAGAGATTTCGTTAAGGTTGCTGCATATCCCATGGTATGTAGGAGATGTGATAAAAACAGCACCTGGTTTGAGACCTTCTGATTCCAATTCCTTAATTGCTTTTTGTACCTAATGACACAAAATAAAGACATATTTCCTACGTTAAGAAATAGTTGCACCATTTAAATTATTAATCTCTTTGATTATTAAAATTTAATATTTTAAAAATATACATTGAGAGTAATTTATTTAACTTTTATTTACTAGTAGTATTCGTGTTGTACGGAGTACAAATTAGTAATAAAACAGGTCAAAATCAAAATATAAATGAGATAACTATTTTTAAATGATTTGGAGCTGGTATTTATTAATTAATTATTGTGAAATGTATCCTTATCAGATTCTCCGTTTCAATTTGTTAGTCCCATATACTATTTTGGGCGTTTCAAAAAGATATACCCATATTGAATGTATTCCACTTTTAACTTAGTTTTTATTTCCTATTTTATTCATATTAAATTTTGATTGGTTAGATTAATTGATTGTGAATTAATGACATGACTCTAAATAAAGAAATTACTCCCTTGATTTATGCAAATATGACTAAATCTTTCTTTAAAAAATCAAAAAAACTAAATAAGGCAAAACTATTTATGAATTGTTTTTTAATTTAATGTTAGATTCCAAATATTATCCTTTTCTTATTTTATGAGATTGATTTCATATGGGACTATCATCTTGAAATGGAGGGAGTAACTTTTATTTGTATGGTAACTTAAAAAAGCAAGAGCGTGTAATTTTGCATGCTATATAGTTCACCAATGCATACAAAATGGGCTAAGAAATTCACTCTCCAAAAAATCCGTCTCATTCTCATTTTATTTGCTCCATTTAATTAAGGAAAATGTTATATATAGCCCTTGGGGCTACATATACACATTAAATTAACACTTAAAAATCGTAAAAAGTTAAGAAATTATCAAAATATAAACACTAATAACACTGATTTACGCGTGTTTTTGTTATGAATTCCTAATTTTATATAATTTCTAAGAGTATATTTAATGCTTATATATAGTCTTAGGGTTACATATAACATTACCCTTTAATTAATTTATGAGAGAATTTTCTGGTCAAAGTAGAGCAAATAAATAAAACAGCGGGAATAGCAATTATAATAGATAGAAATAAGATTTCAAACTTACCTGAGACGGACTGACGACGGTAGATATATCCCAATCAAAATCATATTCAGGAAGGATATACTTAGTAACCAATTCAGAGAACACCATGGCAGAAATCGTCGAAATGTGAGAATTACGGGGGAGAATTAGGGCATCTCCAGGATTACAAGCACCCATAATTGCAGCATGGATTCCACAAGTTGTACCTCCTACAAGAAACCATGTTTTCGAGGCCCCGAAAACATCGGCTGCTTGCTTCTGTGCTTCCAAGATAGGGCCTTTCGGAGTAGAAAGGTTGTCAACCTCAGATATGTCATAAAGAAAGGGTTTATGACCAATGAGTTGAGACATTGATGATGGAATTGCTTGACCTTGTGTATGACCAGGGAAAAGAAAACTTGCAACATTTTGTTCAGCGACTGCTTTCAAAGTATTCACTAATGGAGGGGAGTTATGCCAAGTTGAAGCATCAACGCGATAAAACTGTATATATGTTAAATGAGACATTTCAATACAACTTTACATAAATAATGAGCTAATTACATAATCGATGATTAGAAGTAGTTAATGTCGTGAATTGAACCCCTCTAGCCTCCAACCAACTAGACGAACCTTGATTCTCAGTTAATGTCGTTAATGCTAACAATTACTCTCATATTTATTATCTGCTGATGTTTATGTCTGAATTTATTGTACTTCCTCTGTTCCTACTCCCTTCATTTTTGAATAATTGATACAATTAAATTTGACCTACATGTTAATGCATTAGTTTGAAAATTGATATATTTGATTAATAAACATTAGTAAAAAAAAATATTTATATAAGTTGATATATATTATGAAACTTTATATTAATATCTCTTAACCATGTATTCATGATAAAAAATTTTTTTTTATACATTATTAAAAATAACGAAGGAAAAATAAAATATATGAAAAGTGAAAGGAAAAAAAAAAGTTAAATGTATCAAATATTTAAGAGAATATGGAGTATATTACACTGGATTCCCTCTATCCCTTAATTTTATCCCATTGTTATTTTTTTTGAAAGTTTGACTATGAATTACCATTAATCTCTAAGAGATACAAAGTACAAAGTAATATAATAATGTGAGATCTTATTAAATTTATCTTATTGTATATTTTAATAATTTTATGTTTCTATAACTTTTACGTGTATGGAAATGAATATGTATATATATGAATCCCATTTTTCATCATTAATTTCTCTCCCCTGAAAATGCTTTAGCAATTGCCTAGTCATTTCTTGTCAAATAAAATAAAATAAAATAAAATTGCCAAGTCATTGATCCATGTGGCCATGTGTAGACAGCGTGTTCTTGGATAATGTGGGTTTGTTTAATGAGATTTGGGATGATTTATTAGAAAAGTCGAGGAAGTACTAATAGAGGTCTGATATGCATATGCAAGTGCATAACATGGCAATTTAGTAAATAAAATGCAACTTTTGTGTAACGGTTTGTGAAAATGGAGGGAAAATTAGAACGGAATAGTAAAATTGTGTAACGGTGTGGGACCCTTAGCAGGTTAAAAAAACATTTGACGGAACCCCACATGTACTTCCTTTCCTGAAAGAGGAGACCCACTGAACTTTAGAACCTTCCTCCTCTGAAAAAAAAAATTTGAAAAGGTGATGACCTTTTCCTCCATTGTTGAACTCAAAAAAAGTGAAGAAATGGAGGTTTGAAGAAAAAACAAAATCTTAATTTATTCTCCCGTGGTACGTGATGGAGTACCTTGAAACGACGGAGGATGTGGAAAGGTACAACGGTGGTGAGTTTGGTCTGAGCATTTGCGAAGCCAGTGAAAACGATCTCGGTGAAGGAGTAGGATGTGCGGCGGCGTTGGAGGCGCTTTTAAATGAGGTGAGTGATAAATTGTTACAACAATGACAATACGATTTAGTGGGTGTTGTTGATTATTTGAGAAAAAGAATCTAGGGTTTTTACATTTACAGTCGTATAAAAAGGTCCATAATTGTGAAATTCTAGAAATGCAATTGCAATTGTATTAGGTCCAGTTGTTGTATGTTATCATGTTCTCGAATTGCATGTCTTCCTATATCCTCTAATTCCCCTGAATATGTAATCCTCGAATTGCTGGTCGTCCTATTTCATCTAATTGGCCAGAATGTTAATGCCTCTCTGCATGTAATCTTAATTGATCTTGGTATGTTGTGTGTGAATATGGTGTTGTGTGTCTGTTAATTTGTAGTTATGTTAATGTCTGAACAATGTTGACCTTGTGGGGTGATTGTTATATGTGTAACTAAGGTTGTTGTTGGGGAGGAGTCCTTTAAGACTCCAACCAAAGGGAAGGCTAATGTCTCCATCAGTATTCAGATTGAGGAGGAGGGTGGTGAAGTGGAGATGGATGTTGCTTTGCCACCTCCGTCTATTGGAATGGTTTTTGAGTCAATGCTTGAAGTGGATAAGTATTTTATGGAATATGGGCAGCAGAACGGGTTTGGTGTTGTGCGTGCAAGTGGTGCAAATAATGGAAAAGGAGCAAAGAGGAATTGTAGGTGGACGTGTGAAAGTTATGGAAGGCCTGGTCGGAAGAGGAAAAAGGTTGAAGTTGCTGTGGTCTTAGATGCCCAAATCAGTGAAGATGAAGATTTGTGTCCTAAGCGAAAGTCGAAGAAATGTGAATGCCCTGTGTTTGTATATGCACATGTAAACGCTGTAGGTCAATGGGAGATAACGAAGGCTAAAATGGAACATGATGGGCATACTCCAACCCCTAGCAAATCAAAGAGTATAAGTAAATTTAGGTGTGAAGCAGCTATTGGAAAATCCCCATATTGTGAAGCAGCTATTTCAAGAAAGAAGGGCAGGTGTTCCTGTTTCTACCATTTATAGAAGTATGGCTAGGCAGAGGAATGGTTTGGAGGGGATGCAGTTTGAGCAAAAAGACCTACACGATGAAGTTTCTAAGGAAAGGAAAAGGGTCTTTGAAGAAGGGGATGCAAAAGCCATGTTTGCATACTTTAAGAGAATGGTGGATGACAATTCGAATTTCTTTCACACATATCGAGTTGATGAAGAAGGAAGGTTGAAGGATGTTTTATGGGTAGACGCAAGGAGTAGGGTGGCTTATGAAAAGTTTGGGGATGTAGTTGTATTTGATTCTACTTATTTGACTAATGAATACAAACTTTCTTTTTGCAACTTTGTAGGAGTAAACCATCATGGCCAAACCATTCTTTTTGGATGCGCCCTTGTTACCCGTGAGAATGCTGAGACTTTTGAATGGGTGTTCTCAAATTGGCTTCAATGCATGGGCGACAAACCCCCTATTGGTATCCTAACTGACCAGGACCCGGCAATGCGCAAAGCTCTAAAGATTGTTATGAAAGGAACAACCCACAGATGGTGCATTTGGCACATCATTAACAAGTTTGGAAAGAAGTTAGGCAAGCATGAGAAGTACAAGGAGCTGAAGGAGGGGCTACAACATGTGATTTATGATAGTCTTGATCCTGATGAATTTGAAGAACGATGGCCTGAGGTTATGAAGAAATACAAGGTTGAAGATGATGAACGATTGGAAGGTAATAATTAATTTATTATATACACCCTTGTTACATTGGTTTAAAATTCGTTGCATTTAATTGTAGCATTTGTAAAATACTATCCTTAATGTGCATTTGCAAAATACAGAATTTTGATTGAAAAATAAGAAAGTATACATATATGTAAAATATGTATTGTGGTGTTGGTTTTATGTAATTTGAATTCCCATGAGTGTCCAGGATTGTTTGAGGAACGTGGAATGTGGGTTCTAGCCTATGTGAAGCACTTGTTTTGGGCTGGGATGAGGACGACGCAGAGAGTGGAAAGCATTCACAGCTTCTTTGATGGATATCTAAGCAAACACACGCTCCTGCATGAATTTGTTGAGCGGTATGTAGAGGCTCTGGAGGTTAGAGCCACAAGTAAAAAAAAGGCTGATGATAACAATGCCAGATATGTCAGGAAGACTTACAGTGACTTCCCAGCTGAGTTGATCTTCCAAAAGATCTACACTTATGCAAAGTTCAAAGAAGTCCAGCGAGAATGTACCCGGAGCTTATATGTTAGTCCCATCGAAAAAAGTGTCTTGTCTGAGAGCATCATTGAGCATGTGGTTGAGGATAGAATTTGGTACAAGCCGAAACACTCTTCGAAGGAGAAACCTTCTAAGAGGAAGAGGAGATACAAGATCAGCTTAGATTGTGTTTTTAAGGAAGCTTGTTGCGAATGCAAGCACTTTGAGTGCCACGGTATTATTTGTCGTCACATCATTAAGGTTTACGAGCTTAACGATCATTACGAAATACCTGAAAAATTTATTCTGAGGCGTTGGAGGAAAGATGTGATAAGGAAGCACACTAGGGTTAAGGTTGCATACCACGATCCAAACAAGACCGAAGAGGTGTGCAGGTTTGACAAAATGATGGTGAAGTTTAGTTCACTTACTTCAAAGGCCTGTGTTTATAAAACCACAACTGATCTTGTCATGGCAACCCTCCAGTTACTAGAAATTCAATTGGATGAAAAACTTTCAATGATGAATGTTACAAACGCAGAAAGAGAAGGTAGAGGTGAGAAGGGAACTCCAATTACCCCATCCACACAGAGACAAGGTAGCTGCTCTGAGGACCCGAAGGATCCTCCAATGCCGAAGAGGCCTGCTCACAGAACAACTGATGTGAGGTTCCCTTCCTGTGTTGAGAAGTCTAAAAAAGGGGCTAAGACAAACAACAAAGGTTCACAAAAATCCGCAATGGTGCAACACGAATCACAACGTACAACTTCGAATGTTACACCCTCATATTCTCAGGTTATGTTCTTTACTTATTGTATGCTTGATGTTGTTTACCTATGTGATAATATCTTGTAATGGTGTTGTTTTCTTTAATGCAGTTGCCTCCACAACACGGATTTATGTTTCCGTATAGCCCGCAGTCTATAGGAGGCATCCAGATGGTGGATGCTGACGGATCAATAGGGTATTTTACTGGTGTCTCAGGCGCGAATACCCCCAAAACTCCTACAGCCAACTTGTCTGGAACTGATGGCCAATCTATTTACCATCATCACTATAGACCACTCATTCCTTGTGCACAAACATTGGCCTCCCCTAGTACCCCTAAGTCTGCATCACCACTCGGAGGTGCTTCTTCTTCTGGAAAATACAGACCCATTGCTCCTAAACCGATGTATATACCCATTGCTCCTTATCATCACCGATATTTCCATCCTTACCACAATCCCCAGTACAATCCCCAGTACAGTCATCCAAACCAACATCCTAATGGTCATCATGAACATCCTACTGGTACTACGGGTACTAACCAACACTGCAATGGTGCTACTGGTACTAACCAACACTGCAACGGTCCATCAGCCACTACCCCAGCAAATTCTGCACAATAGCTAGAGATTCCAGTACCTGAAGCTGTAATATATTCTGATCTTCCTTAGTATAATTTTTTGTAATCGTGGGTGGATCACTTCTTTAGTGATGTAATGGAGTGCTCTTTAACATATTGCATGTATTTAGTAATTACCATTACAATTAATTCGTACTTAAACTTATCTTAGAAATTGTGTTAAATTAAGGATATCACTGGATATGAGAAGGGTACCACTGGATATGAGAAGGGTACGACCCGAATAAATTTAACTTCAGACTTTGACCTCCATTTGTAGTTTGAACTTACTCGTACTTAAACTTACCTTAGAAATTGTACCACTGGAGATGAGAAGGGTACCACTAGAGATAAGAAGGGTACGACCTTATTAAAGTTAACTTCAGACTTTGACCTATTTTAGTGTTGACCTTATAAATTGTATCACTGAAGTTCTGATGGGTAGCACTGTGATGGGTGTACCACTGGAGGGTTTTATACTTAAAATAGGAATAATTGGAGATGAATTTGTTGCATAATTATCGAGGGGATTCTAAACACTTAAAGGGAATGAAACCGTCATGATTACAAACGTACCATGCGAATATGTGGTGTAGTCAATTCTCAGTATAATAACATATTCCAAAATAGATAATGAATGGTATACAACAGGGACAATATACGCGCTATAGTTAGCGTAATTTAAAGTACATGTTGATTAAAGATGACATATACCCAATGTAAAACCCGAATACAATTTGTAGTTTATATGTTTCACATGTGCGATAATGTATACACTTTGTAGTTTATATGTTTCATATGTCAAACATTTATTTAGTTTTATTTCAACTTTTTTCAGAATTATAACACATTTATATCAAGGTTTTTTAGAATGGTAACCGGTTGCAATGCTCGAATTTAGAATTACTAATGTTGTGTACGCATAATAACCTTTTTATGTTGATCCATTGACTCTACAATTACAACTAAGGCGATAATAACTATGTTTCACTGGTCGCTTGATTACCATCATTGTAAAATGACACTACGACTTATAATACTTGGACTAGTTCAAAATTCAACTACATATTACTAGGGTACCGTTAGATCTGTGTAGGGTACTACTGGGGCTAAGCTTAGGGTATAGGTTTTTGGTTTAGTGTATGTCACGGTACTTTACCACATACACTGGAGCCGCAAACATACCACTGAAAAACCAAAAAGTCCAAATTCAAATTATAACCCAGTATTACTGCATTCGTTTTGTATTTCATTAACACCTGTTAGGGTACTACTACGTATACACCACATATTTATCAAGTGGCTTTTAGTAGTTGGGAGGTGATATTGTACGTAGAAGGGCCAACATACATTTAATGTACAATGGCTAACATACATTTTACTATGTTTTTGTACAAGGCAAAGAGAGCAAGTGAGTAATGGTTTTAGAACGTACCCCTAATATTTTGATTACTTAGACTGTGCGTTATGCTGATTGTATTTACGATGTGGCAACATATGGTACATAGTCCACCATAAATTAACCAACATTTACTCGTCATTCATATTTTGCGTTTGAGGGAACCACAACAACTCATTAATGAGCTCTCCCCTCAATATTTACTAGGAACGTATTGTGCGTATTATAATTGTGTATAACATGTACAGTTATGATGAAATGCAACTTAATTGACATAAAGAATCATTGACGAAATGCAATTACGTTTTGTGCGTATATTTACTAGGTATTATGTGTAGTTATAGATTATTACTAAATGGACCATTTATAAGTTGAAATATTTAGTAAATGTACTCCAAATTAAGAATCCACAGTTATAGTAAACAAGCAGGAAGAACATTTGTTTTAATTAACTGTACCACTACAACAGAATATAGAACAATTAATTGTATGTTTTGTACAGCTTGTTAATTTAATGGTTGTTTAACTATTTCCAACCGTATAATATGTCTTACAATTGAAAAGTACTACTGAAACTTATTTATGTACCACTTTATTTTTTTCTAAGGAAATTCATGTACAAACATCGGCTGCACAGTTATGAGTACCACTACAACACATTATATATCAATTTAAAAATGTAGATTTGTACAGCTACCGTGTGTAATAGTTGTTTTTTTGTTACCAATGTGGATGTTTGATACTTTAACGTATACAAATGAAAAGTACTATTGAAACTTATTTATGTACCACATTGTTACGGAAAATACTGTACACACATTGAAAGCGGGCAAAACTTTAGGCAGGGTAATTAGTAAACCCTTCCCGCCATTTTTATTATTTTTTGTTGTTGATTACGGACTATATATGTACACAAGTATATTAAGCCTTTGTGAGGAGGGTTTTGCAAAAATCACAAACATTTCTATGTCTTCCCACTCCATTTCATATACTTCTAGACTTAGGAGTTTCGACAACACGAACTCAGACATATCATGGATTGCTGCGAAGAAATGCAACTGTGGGGGGCAAACAATTGTTGAGTTCCGCATTTCTCATTCTGAAGCAAACCCTCTCAGGCCTTACTACAAGTGTAGAATGTGCAATTTCTGGCAATGGGCGACAGAGGTGGATTTCATCCGACAGAGGAGTGAAAACGCGGTGGGTTTAATTTGGCAAAAGATGGATGATCTCGAACGTTTTGGCAGGAAACTAATCAAAATTGTTGTTACTGTTGCCGTGGTGTCAATCATATTACACCTTATTTAGTATTACTACCTTTCAGTTTAGTATCATAGTAAATCTATTTGGAGTACTTACTGTAATATAAACTTGAATTGGTCTTTGTTATATATTATTGTATTGTTTCCCTTTTTAATGCAAATTTCGTATATCGGTTTTAATTATTGTTTTAAACAATTTTTAAAAAGTGAACAGCCAAACTAACTTAGAGCACACAATTCCATAGTAATTATAAACTATAACAATTGTAAATAACTTCAAGTTTAACGACACTTAGTACAACTTCAAAGTGGTTCATCAGAACACAATACAAAGACAACTTCAAAATACAACTTCAAAATACAACTTCAAGGTCCTGAAGTCCTAAATTTTAATAGCCGAAACAAAATGAAAAACCATTGTCTTGACAATTGGAGAGTGAAAACAGAGAACAACAACTTCTTAGCATCAGATTCACCATCAAGGGGTGAGATGATCATTCAAGTCACTAACGGTTGGGTCGCCCAAGTTGACTACTGGTTCGTCATCTTCAATGAAGGGTAACTGTGGTGTCGGTGGGGTGAGGTGATCATTCCAGTCGTGGACAGTGGGATCATCAGGATCACTGTGAGGATTACGGTATGATGGGGGCGAATTACTTTCCAGCTGACTTCCTTGTTGACTTGAATTAACACTCCTCAATGACTATAATTTGCATTTGATTCGAACTCATTAATTAGTTTCCAATTTCACGCATAACAATGTCAAAAGCATTCATACACCAATACATTATTAGTAAAACAGTCATTAAATGTAATGTTAACCTTGATTGATTAGAATAGCAGATCCAAATTACATTTCTAATCTTGTCTTAACACTTTGACTAGGTAGAATAGAATTATATACAAAGCAATTCAATCAATAGTATGATACGAGTAATTTAGACTTAGAAAGAAGGCAATTAAATTAATAAGTTTACCTCAATATCAACAACAAGCTGATGGCTGAAATATGACTGACCCCTCTTAGTTACCCAAGGAAAGAGATCCTTCACATCCCAAATGAGCAACACCTCACTATACCCATTTTGCCCACCAAACCCTTCGACGTTGTAGACGCCCCTAAGCTCGAACTTCACGAACTCAAGTGTGGACTGGTCAAATCTAGCTTCCGTCACGACAACAACAACAGGGGCATAGTAATGGAAAATCTCATAGAACGTCTCCACAAATGATGGTCTGTGGACATTCCGTGCGTTCCATATAACAATTGCAGATCCAGTATGTAAATATTCAGGACGCCCATCATCAATTTCACTGTCAGACCCCCAAATCGAAACCCTGTGGTACTTAACTTTCAATTTGTTTGTAACACAAGAAAATACATTGAGATGAATGAACTTCACCATCCCTTGGACCTCCATCACATGAATTGCTGCATTTGAAGCACCTATGAAGATGTGGCTTTCCTTTGTTGGCAGAGTGTACAAAGGAATATTGTCGAGGTCAACCTCTGGCTTCAAATCAAAAATCGGGACAATTTCTTTTGGAATAAAATCATCAGACCTACAATTACTGCATATCCACTTAGCAAATGCACTCACACCCTTGTGGAGATAACCATCCAAATCGGACAAATCTGGATAGTACGTAGGGCGGACGTTGTCTTCAGATAGTTCCATGACACTTTTAGGTATGTAGGTAGTTTTCATGAGATCAAGGGAAGTGGATAGCTGATCACGAAGGAAGGCATGAGGCATGTAAATGCCTTGTTTGTAGTAATGGTCGTTTGCAAAGTACGGGGTGGAGTTGAAATCAAGTTCTGGGGTGGTTGTGGTGGTGAAAGGGCTAAAGTACATGACGGGTGTGGTTGAGTGTGGTTCAAGGAGCCTTCCCAAAGCTCTTTGTGACAAGTTTTGTGACCTTGACATGGTTGCTAGGTTCGTTCGGAAAGATTAACAAATGTTTCAGAGGTCACTGTGAATGGGGGGTTACAATGATAGTAGGATTTTGGATTATTTTAAATAAGATTTTTGAGCATTTTAAATAATCATTTTATGGGATTATTTTCCTTTCCCATGTACCCCCATCCAGAAAATATATACATGGGAAAGGAAAATAATCCCATAAAATCCTCATATACCAGAGGAAATGTACTTATGACAGAGAAAAAGTGATACTTTTGTACAACTTTAGTAGCAAAGTTACTTACTGATAAGACAATACACCTGCTGTGAGAGTAAAATGTGGCGTTGGGCTCAATACATTTCTGACATTAGATGTTGAACATTTTTAGGAAGGTTAGACTCATTTATGTTACAGCTGAATTGTAATTGCAAGCATTGCTCCTGCACAACATAACTAAATAAAAAGACATGATGGTAAACATTTAAACTCAATCAACATAAACATTGAAAATCAAACAACCACTTCTCTTGTTCCTTGGCTCCATGCTCTTGCTCCATTGCCATGGCAAATAGAGGTAATTTGTAGATCACTAATTTCTTTGCCTTTACACGTATTCTTCAATTGGTTTTGTCATTTCTTTCAATGTTCAAGTATATCATATGAAATATATTAAACACCAACATATGGTTGTCTTGTAATCAAATTCACACGTAAAATCCAGTATACATGTGTGTTGTTATCTTTTTCAGAGCATTGTATAAAAACACCAAATTATGGTTGTGTCTTGTAAGTTTGTCATACAGGTAAGAAAAAAGTATGAGAAATTAGATTGAATCCATGTAAGGAATTAGCCAGCGAAAGTATTACATGTTCCAGTGATACTATAATTGGATCACTGAAAAGTACCACTACAACATATACTTTACCAGCAACATTTTTATGTGTAATAGCAACACTACACTGAAGCAAAATAACGTTATACTAAGAGAGTTAAAGTACCACTGATTCATATTCCAAATTGCAGGTAACAAACAAGCTGAAAGACGACGGAAGAGACTCCTGCGAAGAGTACAAAAACTGAAGAACGCTGGATATCAAGATCCCAACAGCATAATTAGGGACTTGTATATGCCTATGCGTAGCAAGGAATTGATGTTCAGCCATCAGTTGGCGACCATTTCTAGAGGGGGATTACATGACCCCGTTAAGGGAATTGACTTCCATCCCGAATACCCATTCCTGACGTTGTTCAAAGTAGGTAGGGCAAGATACTTTCGCAAAGAAGCGTACTGTTTTATGTATTATTTGGTAGATGTGGCAAAGATTGCGGTCTGCTTCAACTTACGCACTCTAAGAAGATCATTAGCGGAGTGTTATGCGTTCCCTACGTACCACATGTACCTGAAAAAGTTTTTTGAGTTCTTTGCTTATCTAGAAGATTGGTGGCTGGAGGTTGATGAAGCTGTGGGCAAGGGAGAGGAATGGGGAATTGTGCTACTTGGGAAAAAATTTACAACACCAAAGGCAGGCGACATCCACGTAACTTGGACTTGACTGCAATACTACAAGGACGATCCTCTGAAGAGTATGGAGAATGATAGGGAGCAACCCATTGAGTTTAGAAGGAAAATGCTCGCCGAAAATGGAGTACAGGAAAATGAGAAGTTGTCTATTAATATAGGCGATCCAATTTAATACACCGATTACCCCACTGAGTATGTCAATCGTCTCCAGTATGCACAATATGTGTATGAAACCAACACACAAACTGATACTTCTGCTGAAGGTTTTGGATGGACATCTGAATCAAGCTTCGAGTTCTGCTAATCAAGCATATATGTTTGACATAGTAACGAATACTGTAATGGGCAACAAATGTAATGGTTGCTGTGTATGTGTATTTAAACTAATCATTCCTTTTGTTCCTTTTGTTCCAAGTTAATGCTTTAGCATAGCCTAAATTAGCACGGAACATTAGTCATCTTGTACCTTAATTAATATTATTAATGCTTTAGCATAGCCTAAATTAGCACGGAACATTAGTCATCTTGTACTACTTAATTAATATTATTAATGCCAACAATTGTGCTAAAACATCATCTGAATCCTACAGAGGCGACCTAAAAGAGTGTACTTAGCCGAGTTTATAAAACAAGGCAAAACAGGGTCACACCACCACCACATTGTATCTAAGTTAACAAAATAGGACACATTTAAGTGATTAATTAAACTATTAAGGAAGTCTTTTGTTGCCAATTGCATACAGAACCTAGAAACTCATCTGAGAACCACCCTTTCTATTCCCTCGACGTTCTTTAGGCAAAACCTCCTCCAATCGGTCCTACAGCTGGTTGTAATCGCTGTTCACATCATTCAGAAATAAGTTTTGCCTCAAGGTGCTAATCTTCTCCTGAAAGGGAACAACATTTTAAGTAAAAGTTAAACAGGGCGAACAAAGTACATGGAAAAAATTAGTAAAACCATAAACCCTTAATTAGAGCACATACCATGTGAAAAGCAGCATCAAAACTACGAACACAGTGCTTGATAGCTGCTAACATAATTGCACCACACGAGCACCTAAAGAATTTTGATAAAAATTAGTGATCACAAGAACCTACACTTGTGAGAAATTATAGAAAAAGGAATGACTTCCCGCGGAAATTACATACGTGTCAGTTTGTGTCACAGGAAAACACTTCCGCACCCAAGTAGAAATAGTTCCCTGCTCCCAGTTGGGATCAGAGATGTTCAACAGCACCCCTAAGGCCTCAATCTGCAAACATTTACAATATTCATAACTTATATATTATAAACAAAAACCGGGGTTTCAATTGACTAATTAATTAAGGGCAGACAGAACCATTATCAGCTTAGTAACAATTTTCTCATGCCTTGAGTATGCATCATCGTACAAAGAATCAATCATCCAAATCTGTCGACCTTTCAAATCCAACGCAAGACAATACCAATGTTCCGCGTCTTTTTGGGCAGTATCTAGAACAGGGACAAATACCTGTCACATAAGTGAACCAACTTCAGAACCCAAAAATATTAACCAAAACCAAAATTACACCCCACATTTTTATCCTACTACACAAAACAACTTACACTTTCAATCTGCATCAGTTCAAAGCTTAGGAACACCTTGTCATACTTTTGGCCCAAATCCTTCAACTCATCTTTGCCTTGAATAACAAAATGCTACCAAGAAAAATATTAATCATTGTCAATCACCTTCAATGTTTCAAAACTAAATCACAGACCATACCATAAAATTAAACTTTTTCCTCATCGAGTACGAAGGATCCAAAAGTATCCTCTTCATAGTGTGGTCTGACCAGGTCTTCATGTACAGGACGGAGGCCATCCTCACATACTGGTCACCAACCCGGCACCTCGGGGAGAGTACACGGTAACAATCCCTTTGCGATGCATCCATGCCATCACACTCAATTATAGAAGGACCAGGACTGCACATGTAACAAACAGCAACCAGTAAACATGATAACAAATATGCATATGGAAACAAAAATATTGTAACAACCCTCCAACTATTTTAACGTACGCATTTTCATTCTTCATTTCCTTCCACCCACGAACAAAGTTCACCAGCCTCTTCTCCAAAACAGTTAGCTTACAAGGCATGGGTTCTTCCTCCGCTGCCTCCACCGTGGGTTGTAAAATATTGTCGCCTGTCAAGACACCTCCTACTATTTTTTCTACTGGGCCTACATTTTGAGGTAACGGACCAGTACTGCCCGTAGCTAACTGGCTATGGGTTGAACAGAAATCATCAGTAGCATTATAACTACCCATGTTACACATCTTCGACACAAACACGCTAAAAGCTTTTCCTACCACACCCTCAACAAAGGTCTCCAACCTTAGGGTCAGCTTCTCAATCACCTACAACATAGAAGCAATTACAGTTAAACTAAACACCAGATAAAAATAACACCAGGGCTGAGTTTTCAAAATACTTATACCTTACCCATCACTTCAACAACAACATTATCAACCTTATCTAGCTGAGTTCCAGCAGAGACAGCTCCTCGCATGCACTCATCATCCCTTGGATCAAGAGGATGCTCCTCCCCATAAGCTATGTCCAAAGCCTACGGAAATCACAAGTCAACTCACCCTAGAAATAAATATACTACACCAACAACACTTCACTTATATTAAAAAAAGAATACACTTTACCAACAACTTTCCATATTCATCGGGGCTAATCTTGTCTTCCATCAAGGCTGCCTTAATCTGTGCAGAATTCCAAATCTTCACCCTAGGGAACACACTCCATTGCAAGGGTCTCCTATGCAGGTGATCAAGATAAAATATCTACATCAAAATATTCATATGTGTTAAATCAAATAACAATAGGTAGCGACTACATAAAAAAACAAATTATTTATATACACAAAAACACCACAATCTCACCATAACAAAAAGAAAGCTGCCTCCAGATCCAGACCTATAACCATCACGCAAAAACTTAGCTTGGAAACGGTGCGCAGAGTCACAAAGCTAATTCATAGTGAACGTGCACCAATCATATTCACTAGCTGTTATTGCCACTGTCAAACAAGGAATTAGAGAGGAAGCCAAATTTGACGAGTTTTTCGTTGTGCATAAAAGTTTTCCAAGGACCACAATCAAGAATTCTATCATAAACTCCTCTTCATCACTTTCTGTTAGTAGAGGAAAAGGGTGGTTCTCACTATCAACAGGGCACAAAACCTCAGACGCCTTTTTCAAAGATATTGTTTCTTTCTTCGGCCCTACACCATACGAATCATACAAACCTTTCACCAACATTATTCTGTCTTCATCTTCACCTATGTCTAGTGGCACGGGTCTCGTACCCATAGGAATGCCTAACACAACTCTCACTTGAGTAGCACACAAGGGCAAAATTTCACCTTCTCCAAACACCATTGTCCCATCTTCAAGTACTCTGGCCATAAGCCAATAACAGAACTGCCGAGGGATATTTTTCATATCCAACTCAAGAAATCCACCAAACCCCATTTGCTTTACTAATTGTTTCCTCCTCAGATCAAACAGCTTCACAGAATCACAAAAGGATTCAACACGGCAGACAATGTTTGGATACTGTTCAAATGTAAAAACATTTTTAAAAACTGAATAAGACCATACCATAAATCCACATCCCCCTACTTTATGTAATTAACCTCAATAACCTAAACCCCAGAGACAATATTAAAATTCAACTTTCACAAAATCATGGTCTTAATTCCTTACCTTGCCTACATTTTCATGGTGAGTCTTCAGAACCTAACCTTTACTTAACACTTTATGTACTTTCATTTTTGGTATCTGTCACACACACACAGCACCAATAAACATAAGTCAATGCATAAAGTATACAAAACAACTTGCACTTACTCAAGACACACTTAAATATTATACCTTTTGCTTCTGGTACACACTTTGTTCCACTTTCCCTTTCCTCTTCCTCGACTTCATCTTCATGTACTCCATCATCATGTTCGCCATAAAATCACCACTACTGCTCACTGACTGTCCTTCTTCCTCATAGTCATAATCATCATAATCATCCTCCTCTACTTCTTCATACCCTTCTTGATAGTCCTCATCATCCTCACTTTCTTCCAGCCTTCCTTTACCCTTGACTATCCTATCCACCTAGGATTTACCAGGACCTTTGCCTACAACACCCTTTACACCAGAACACTTACCACCACCTGTCCTCTTCAAAGAAGTCATGGCATTACTACACTTTAAAGGACCCTTGACAAACAGCACATTTAACAAAGATTTAGACTTTTACTATTTCACAAATGAATCACACATAATTCACAAGGTGTACCCATAAAAATAACTCACCAATCCCTTCTTCCAGCCGTTCGATTGCACTACTGCCTTCCTCATCCTCCTCCTTCCTTCTTCGACTAAACAACAACATATAAATAAATTACTAAACACCCTATCAATTTCAAACATTATCATACACAAGATTCGACCTTTATACCTCTTAAACTTATAATTCTTATTAACTTTTAAATTTCGACAACTACACTAACAATTCGACCTATTATCAATTAACTATTATCAATTAAGCAATTATTAACCCCGCAATTCAACCAATTAACAATTAAACAATTACAATACACAAATAGGTATCAAATAATAATCAGACCCATATTTCGACCTTCACCTCTTTAATTCTTCTTATTCTAAGTTCATAAACCATTCCACAATTAAAAATTCTTCGTATTCAAACTCTTTAATTAACGACTTTCTAAACCAAACCCTAATATTTTATGCTTGCCCTCAATTCAAACATCCTTAAACCATTTACAGTAACAATACCCGACACATATAAACCCTTTCGCGACACAAAAAAATCACTTACAAACTTAAAACAATAACAGAAACTAACCTTGTTATAACAATTTAAGCCCTGCACCGCTACAACTATCAACAATTCGCCAACCACGCGGAAAACAACCACCCAACGCAGAGAGAGATAAGTTAAATTCAAACTATGAAGGAAAATACGCCTTCAATTCTTTTTTTTTTTCAATTGAAAAGCAAGGAGGAATTAACGAAAACCTAAGATTAATGAACACCAAGGGAGAAGAACAAGGGAGGGAAGATGAAAAGATGGAAGAGGAGAGAGAAGCTAAATTTAAAATGAGGACAAAGGAGAGAGGAGAGAGAGCGCACAAAGACCAAGACTATAAGGTGAGCATTAAAAAAATCAAAAGGTACAAAACGGGATGTCAGTGTTTGTAACGGGGATACTGAATAGGATTTTTCAAATTCAAGGAGAAATGTCTAAAATACCTCCTGATATGTATTTGCATGTGCCTATCAAACCTCCGTTTGGAAGCCCTCAGAAAAGTCATGTGCAACATTTTTTTCATTCAATGTTTGTTTGACTCCAGTCGTTATCTAGGCATATTCACGAATTGCGGCATATTCGTATAGTTCTTCGGTTTTATCTATATTTTCTTCGTATTTTTTAAGTAATTTGTGGTTGGTGCACCTGGGTGCACCATGCGCATGGTGCACCTAAAAGAACATTTAGTATATTTAAAAAAACATGGGTAAAAAATGAACATGTTTTCATTTTCTTGCAACAGCAAATCCATCACTCTCTTCTCCTGCAATTTCTCACGCCTCTTTCCCTTCCTATCACTCTCTTTCTTGCTGCTAATTTTTACTCTCCTTTACACCATCGTTTTCATTTAAGAATTTCAATAAATTTGGGTAAAAATCATTTCCAAAGTACTCATTTTCTCTCTCCATAACTTTTCTCTCTATCTTTTTCTATTTTTCAAAAAAATTTCAAAATAGCAAAATTGTTCATCTTCAAAGTGAAACCCAAGAAAAAAATTGAACTTATTTCAACAATTCAACCTTCAAACTTAAACAATGGTGGATTCAAGTAAAATGTAAGTATAAATTTTGTACGTGGAAATTGTTTTTCTTCAATAATTTTAAAGTTAAAGTGTTTAATTTTGTGAATTTGGGGTTTTTTCATAAAAAAAAAATAATTAAAGCTATAAAGTACAAGTTGTTCAAAAAAGAACAATTAGAGGAGAAAGAAGAATAGTAATGAATTGAAGCCAACTGGAAGATAACCAAGCAAGGTTAATTTTTCAAACACTAGCTTGTTCTTTTTCAAACACTAACATGTTCTTTTTATTCCATGTTCTTTAAAATATGCCTAATGTTCTTTTCGAAGGTCATGTTCTTTGTCAAACACAAACATGTTCTTTTAATGAACACTATTATGCATGTTCTTTTTCAAATACTAGCATGTTTTTTTTCAAACACTGCCTTGTTCTTTTTCAAACACTAACATGTTCTTTTTATTCCATGTTCTTTTTATTTCATGTTCTTTAAAATATGCCTAATGTTCTTTTCGGAGGCCATGTTCTTTGTCAAACACAAACATGTTCTTGTGTTGAACACTATTATGCATGTTCTTTTTCAAATACTAACATGTTCTTTTTCAAACACTCGTATGCTCTTTTTTTTCTCATGTTCTTTAAAATAAGCCTAATGTTCTTTCCGGGTGCACCATGCGCATGGTGCACCCGGGTGCACTATACTATTTTCATTTTTTAAGTGTTATAAAACTTTAATCGATATATGGATTTTAGGTGATTTAATTAATTTTAAAATTAAAAGATACTCGTATAAGAGGTTTTTTTTTTTGGGAAGAAGTATAATAGGGGTAATTTAAATATGTAAAACAGATAGAGTTATGATATTATTAATTATTATAGAGTTTACCGGATTAAAAATAAAAATATAAAAATTAGTTTCTTCCTTCATTTCTCAATTGGTTATACAAGTATATGAAATTATTATGTTGCAGTTGACTTTGTGTGGGGACCAACTGCATTTACAAATATCTTATATGTGGTTATGACCACTTCACATAATCACATACTATAAGGCAATTAATCAAGTAATAAAGGTCCGATGTAAAGCCTTGTTCTCTTCACCTTAAAAAATAATATTAAGTAAAAATAATTTCAGTTCAGTAAAAATAATTTCGCTTCAGTAAAATTAAGTTTAGTTCAGTAAAATTCAGTTTTCTTAAAGAAAAATTATAATAGAAAATCAGTAAAAATAATTTCAGTTCAGTAAAAATAATTTAGGTTCAGTAAAAATAATTTCAGTTCAATAAAATTAAGTTCAGTTCAGTAAAAATAATTTCAGTTTTGCAAAATTAAGGTGGATCAAACAGGACCTAAGCAAATGGAGTTATCTTAACGTATGAAGGTTACTTAAATGGAAAAAAAAGAGGTTATTCTATTAAATATGTGAAATTATTCCTTCATTTTCTAAAACAAAAGAATAGGGTTACTCGAATGAGTGAATGGGGTTACTTATTTCTAAATTATTTGATTTTACTCGGATAACATGAGTCTGAGTTACTTTTATGGACAACATGATTGAGTTTACTCTTATGAAAAAATGAGGTTACTCATACATTTAAACGAATAAAACTCCTATAAATCAATGTGGCCACACTATGTGGCTAGCCATCCATTTATACTTCCTCCGTACTGTTAATATTGCAACAAGGAGGAAATTACGCATCCCAAAACACATTTTAATGCTAAATATCTATAATTGTGTAAGAGTAAAAATTATAAAAAGTTGATATTGTGAAAGTATTAAATGAGACGAATCCAACAAGATCCCACTTAACTATATTTTGCTTAACGTATAACTCAAATTATATGGTCAAACAAGAGTGATGAATAGTGCAAAAAGTTCATTGTTGTAATATTAATAGAATGGAGGAAGTATATTACATGCTACGGTTAAAGGTTATTAGCTCTCCAAAGAAAATAACATAAGTTACTCCAAATTCTCACCTTTTTATTTGTTTTTGTGTCAACTCTGAAGAATGTATCTATCTAGAAGAGGAAGTGGTACAATATAGAAAATTTCACAATCTGAAGAACACATCATTATCAAAAGTTAAAACTAAGAAGTTATCCTTACCCCTTTCAGGATATCGTCCTTTTGATTTGTATTCTTTGGCTCATGCTCATGGCTATTACACCCCTGTAAAATAAAAAACATAAATATCATATGTCATTTTAAAAGTAATGTATCTTAGCTTTATTTCAATGCCATCTAATTTTCTTAAATAATTAAAGGAAAATTTAACATTAGTGGTCAAACCTTTGTCCGGTTCTCCAATATTGGACCAACCTTTAAATCTTCCCATATTAAACTTAAAAATGTAACTTTTCTCCCAAAATGGACTGTGGTGACTGCGAACCGGTTTGCGAAGTCAACAGAACGCATGTTGACCTATGGGAAGTTAGTTTCCCTCCCAAATTAATTGAAGCGCCATTACTGTCTTCAACCAACTGTGTCGAATCAACCATTAATGCTAAAAAAAGCACCCCTAACCTCTTCTTTTTACCCAAATTTCACTCTCTCTTTCGCTTTCAATCCGTACTCTTCTTTCCCTTTCTGCTAATTGCTGGTCCCCAATTTTTTTTCCGAAATTGGCTCTGCAATTGTATTGGATTCGTGTAACCATTGAAGTGAATTTGAAGCAGCTGGGGAAGGTCTTTCGGTGCTCGCTTCCTCTATTTATCAATGGTACGTATTCGGAAAACCCTAAATTAGTTTAATTATGTTGAATTGTGCAAAATTGTGGGCTAAATTGCGAATTTTGTTGAATTTTTTGCATTGAAATTGCACTCTTTGGGTTGTGTTTTGTAGTTAGGTTTAGTTGCGTATGTGATTGTTATTGCTATTGTTGTTATATTTGTGTCTGAAAGATGGTAAATTTATGTTTAATGCTAGATGGATGATCCTTTTGCTACTGTAACTCTTAAGTACTAGTATGGGGGCGTTTTAAAACCTCGCGTAATGGTACTTTAGTGTATGAGGGTGGAATGGGTAGGACTTTTAGTATTGATCCTGATCAGTTATGTTGGTGGTGGTTAGAGGATTATGCAAAACAGTGTGGGGTTGAAAATGTAGAGTCTTTGCTGTATTTGGAACCAGGGGAGCCATTAGAGAGTGGGTTGAGAAAGGTTTATTCTGACAATGAAGTGAATTCAGTGAGTGCAGACACTGATTTCAGTGTTTTCAGTTGGAAGGTGGGGCAAAGGTTTTCATCCAGGGAGGCTTTCAGGGATGTTGTATCTAAGTATGTTATTTTACAAGGAAGGGATTTGTATTATGATATAAGCAACATCAAAGTAAATCAAAGATTAGGTGTGAAGTGTGTGGAGTGTTGTGCTTTCTATTTGTATGGTGCTTGGGAAAGTAGGAGGGCAACCTTTATTGTAAAGACAATGCAGTTGGAGCACACTTGTCACGGGAACATGAAAAGGAATAGACAGTTAAAGTCTAAATGGGTAGCTAAGCAATTTTTAGAGGTTTTCAAGAACAGACCTCATTGGCTAGCAAAAGAGATAGTTGAAACTATCAGAAGGGCCTTTAAGGTAGTTGTTCAAAGAGGATTTGCATACAAGGTGAAGTATGCAGCTCATAGAATGCTTCATGGGTTAATGCATGACCAATATGCAAAGGTTGGAGGTTACATAGCAGCTTTAAAGGGTAGCAACCCTGGTAGCTCTATTGAGTTGGTGACAGTAGCAAAACTCAGCAAGCAGCCTGCACCACCCATATTTCAGAGGTTGTTTACTTGTTTTGAAGGTTTGAAAAAGGGTTGGGTAGATGGTTGTAGGAAGGTGATATGTGTGGATGGGTGTTTTTTGAAAACTTTTTTAGGGGGGCAGTTACTATCAGCTGTTGGTAGGGATGGGAATGAGCAAATGTACCCTATAGCTTGGGCAGTTGCAGAAGGGGAGAACAACTTATCATGGGAGTGGTTTTTTGAGCATCTGAAGAGCAATCTTGGCCTAGGGGATGGTGATGGTGTGTGCATCATATCTGATGAACATATGGTGAGTTTTTGTACCTTTTTTTGATGTATTCTTTAATTTTGATATGTGTGGATTTGATAATGTTTGATGTCTACTAGGCAATTTTAAATGCTATGAAAAATGTTCTCCCTAAGGCAGAACACAGGCATTGTGCTAGGCACATATATGCTCACTGGCACAAGACTTACAAAGGGGATGAACTGAAACTGATGTTTTGGAAAATAGCCAAGTCATACAACATGGCATATTGCAATGAAAACCTTGAAGCACTGAGGAAGCTGGACCCTGATGCAGCAAATGCTTTTACAGCATACAATCCAAAATTGTTCTGTAGATCCCACTTAGATACAAAAGTCAAAACAGATGCAATCACAAGCAATATGGCAAAAACCTTCAATGGCTACATCATCAATGCAAGAACAAAGCATCTGATTTACATGCTTGAAGAGATAAGGGCCAACTTGATGCAGAGGCTTGTGCTGAAAAGGCTGGAAATGCAAAAATGCAACTCTTTTCTATGTCCAAACATCCAGATAAGGTTCGAAAAGGAGAAGAATAAGGCTTTATATTGTGATGTTATGCCTTCATCAGAGACATTGTTTAATGCCAGCTACAAGTTGGATTCTCTGGTTGTTAATTTAGAAGCAAAAACTTGCACATGTAGAAAGTAGGACATGGTTGGAATACCATGTTGTCATGCAGTGGCTTGCATTTTTTTCTTGCACCAAGAAGCTGAGTCTTATGTTGATAGCTGTTACTGGAAGGAGGTGTATTTTCAAGCATATGCAGGTATGAAGCTTAATGCTAGTCTAACACTGACTTTATGTTATACCTATGTAAGTCTATTTTTTTTTAATGCAGGATAAATTCCACCTTGTGAAGGGGAGAGACACTGGCCTGTAGTTCAGTGTGTTATGGACCCTCCCCCTATTAAGATAGGGCCTGGCAGACCCAGGAAAAACAGGATCAAAGACCCATCTGAAAATCCATCTAAGCCAGGTCACCTCACTAGAACAGGGATGGAGATGACATGCAGTAATTGTCATCAGAAGGGCCACAACAAAAGGAAGTGTGCTCAACCAACTTCCACTGCCACTCAGCCTCCCAACAAGAAGCAAGCAACTGCAGCTGCACCTCAACAACAACAAACACCTGCTGCTACTGCTCAATCACATCATGAGGCTACAACACAGCCAAGCCAACTTAGGAGGGGTGGGAGAATGATTAGAGGAGGGAGGGGTTCTAGAGGAGGGAGGAATGGTTCAGCTTCTGGTGGAGATAGCAGCAGTGCATCTACAACAGGACTAGGAAGGGGATCAAGAGGAGGCAGAGGCTCAAGGGGAGGCAAGGGCTCAAGGGGTGGCAGGGGCCCAAGAGGTGGAAGGCTACCACTTGGTGTGGGAGTCATGTTTGGTGCACATGGTTCTGTACATAACCAGGGTCCTTCTCAATATGATGTACACCAGGGTCCTTCACAAGTCAGCTAGGTTGATATCCCCACTCAAACAAGCCACATCTGATGTATGGCACTACAAGCTGCTGTAATGCACCCTTATTTTGGCAAGAGCATGTTTCTTGATGTTGCTTTTGATTAGTGAACAATGTATTTTGATGAACAATTTGGTGTTTTTTTTTTAAGCAACTGTGAACTAAATCAAGTTGATGTACTTTGAATCAGCTTTGACTTATTATTTTGGAAGCCTATTATTTTAGCATTTGATTTCCCACATTTGTGTTTGTTTTCAGTTATTGCACAAATATCACAAATAAAATAGTATGGCAAAATAGAACTCTTTTTTTTTTATTGAAAAAGCATTCTTAACATCACCAAATAACAACTACAAACAAACAACAACACTGCAAATTCATGTTCCTCCTACATCATTGACATAATCACTATCCCAAACAAAACCCAAGACAAAATCAAATCCAAAGAAAAATTCCTCTCATTCCTTGCACTCTTCATCAACTCAATTCTCAATTGACTAGTTTCCCCCTTCAGTTCTTGAAGATCTTCTTCCAAGTTCTCTTTTTTAAGCTGAACCCTCTTCACCTTATCTTCTAGCATCTGCTTGTGCATCTCTAACTCAGCAATGGTTGTTTCTTTTTCAAACAATTGAAACCGTAGATCATCAACTTCATCCCTCACACCACCTATCCACTTAAAGAACCCACAATCCGTATCCTGCACATTACACCACAATTAGTTAATTAAAGCATAATACAATGAAATTAAATTGAATAAACCAGATCGCTAATGCCCCAATTAAGTTCTTACAGGCCATAATGGACAGCCATGGAACTTCAACCCCACATTTGGACCATTCTTCACCGATCTCACAACCGCATCTCTTCCACAATTACATTTAATCCTGCCAATTAACCCTCCCCTTGATGAAGAAAAAGACCCTGATGTTGCAAATTGATGCTTTGACCTCTCCATTGATGACTAATTCAAGGAATTGATTTTCGAAGATTTTTAATCGAGCAATTTGTTCAACAATACAGGAGGTTGTTGCTATTTAAATCAAAATAATTAAAAAAAATTAAAAATAAAAAACAAACCCAACGGTAAGTGCCACGTCATCTCTAAACCAGTTACAACAGGTTACGTTACCTATTCAGTCCATTTTGGGAGAAAAGTTACATTTTTAAGTTTAATATGGGAAGATTTAAAGGTTGGTCCAATATTGGAGAACCGGGCAAAAGTTTGTCCACTTATGTTAAATTTTCCTTAAAAAAATTACCTCTAAATTGCAGAGTATTTTTGGATTAATACGTGAAAAAGCTTGATGCATCATAGCCTAGGTAAAAATCAAATTGAAGCCATATAAATAACACAAATTAGAAAAATAACAAAAGGAAATGCAACACATGATATTCAAACAAAAACAATTGGTAATGGATCGGATCGGATACGAGTTGTTACGGATAGACTCGTATTTGGGTTATGGTAGGTTCTTATTTACCATTTTTCTAATCGGTGTGAGTGTGAGGACGACTACCCTCCAGAATTATCACGAAATAGACTCGAGCTCAGTTTTTGGTACGGTGTACGCTCTAGTAGCCTGTATTATTAGAGGGAAGAAAAATGTGATGAAACATTGCACATTGTATTTCAACATTTGGATGATATAAATGAGTTGATTACTTGTTTTAGTTAGCCATATAAATGCAAGTGTGCAACGCAAGGAAAGCATGGGAAGTTTATTATCAAAAGTTGACCATGAAAATGCTCACGACGTGTGCATGGCTCATTGGTTCATCAATCTTTACAAATCAAGGGTAGTAATTAAAGACGACTTTTTGCACTAAATTAAAAACGACTTTTTGAGTTTGGGTGTCTCTAAGTTTTTGTGTTATGGAGTAAATTATGGAAAATGATAATTTAAAAAATAACCAAAGTAGTTCATGTATGATTGCTCCCTCCTCCTCAATTAAATTAGTAACCTCGTTTTAAAATTTGTACTCCTTGTGTTCTCAAATGATCTATCGCTGATCTATTTTAATAAAGGGATGGACAATTTTGCAATGACTACAATATTTTTGTAACCATTCTGATTATTAAATCTTGGTCGTACATTTCTAAGTATAAATTTTATGCCATCCCTTACGTTGACTTAGAGAATATGTTTTGTATAATTTAAGAGTCAGTTAACCACAACCTTCTAAAAGCTCAATTCTCAAATCTTATGCTTTTTTTTTTTAATCAAAACCCACAATTGCTAGATTTGGATCCCCTTCCTCTCTGTAGACTCTAATTTGCATTATTCCAAAATTAAAAATTTATCTGCCAAAATTCCATCAATAATAATCTCCTCTGCACCTTTCTATTTTTTTGTTATTTAATGTTACAATGAGTATATCAGATGCTATTTGATTACAATCGAACTCTTAACAACCTAACGTATGAACTACGGAGTACTATGTGTATGGAAATTAATATAAATTCCAATTCTCATCAAAACCACATGTGATAATGGAAGGCTATGAGGCTGTATATATTGCTATTACTGTTCAGCAATGGAGAAGTATACTGTGACTTTTGAGTGGCTACAACGTAATTGTGGCAATTATATAAAATCTGATCACAACCATTTGTTTTGGTTGACTAATGTGAAGGGTTGATTTAGATTACTTTTTATTTTATTACAAAAAACTGAGAGAAAAAAAAGGAAAAATTAGTTTAAATAATCCAAACTCTTACCGATTTTCTTTAAATAATCCCAACTTTTTATTATTATGTGTTTCGGGTAAAAACAATGGGACCTTGTCGAAGGTCCTGAAACGCGGCTGAAGACTGAGCTCGGTCCAAATGACGCTGGGCCGAGGATTTCTTGCACAGCAAACACACGTAAACTGACCTCGGGGGTTGTGCCGAGGAAGGCCCCTCCGATGCCGAATTCAAACAGTGTTTAGAGAGGAAAAGCTATGCAAGAGAATTAATTGCTTAAGGCTATATGTGAATGAATGATAAATGGTGCAATTGAAGACTTTTATACCTTAGCATAATGAGGAGAAATGGGCTTAGAGTCATATTGGCTAACCATGCTGAGTGAGCCGTTGACTTGAGCTTGGAAGGAGGACAATGGAACTCACATACTTGCTCAAAGCCAAAACTCAAAAGGTACTACTTTGAGTTTTAAAAAATCATGGTCAAATGAATGGATAAGATATCCTCCTTGAATATGAAAGGTCTACATCTAAACCTGGGCACGGGCCGGGTTGGCCCGCGTGCCGCCCGGCACGGCCCGCCGTTCGGAGCAGCCCGACACGGCCCGAAGTCAAGCACGGCACGGCACGAAGTTCGACTTCCGTGCCACGGGCCGTGCCACGGACACGGTGGAGAATTCCCAGGCACGGCCCGGCACGAGCACGAGCAAGGCCCGCCGTGCTGGCCCGCCGTGCTGGCCCGCAGGCACGGCCCGCGGGCCAACGGCTAGTTAAACGGCTATAAACGGCTAGTTTTTTGCCAAAAATTCTATAAATACTCACCTCCATTTCATTCCCAAATCACAAAATCACAATCTCTTCTTCTTATCTCTTATATTCTCTAAATCTCTAATAATCCTTATTTTCTTAAATTCTCTAATTATTCTCTTAAATTCTCTAATTATTTTCCTAATATCGGAAAAAATTAAAAAGTTCGTAATCGTAATTAGTGGAGCGTTGAAGCACGGTTGTAAGATCTAAACTAATCTTAAATTTATTATTGTTTTATTGTTATTATTAGAATAATCTTGTTTAATTATTATTGTTGTTAATTGTTAATTTGTTATTGTTGTTGTTATAATTGTTGTTATTAATTATTATTATTGTTACAATTGTTGTTATTATTTATTTTTGTTGTTATTGTTATTGTTATAGTTGTTGTTATTAATTATTATTATTGATATTTTTATTGTTAAAATTGTTGTTATTAATTATTATTATAGTTAACCACTTTTTATTAAAAAATTAATTGTTAATTATGGCATCGAACAACCCATCATCTAGGTCTAGGGGGAAAGGTCGACTTATCCGTAGTAGTAGTTCTAGGGAACCACCAAATACAACGAGCCCCCAAATTACGAGTCAAACCAATGACCCCATTTACTTCCCCCCGGGCTATGAGCCATATAATACGTCGGGATTTCCAGCACCACCACTAAACCAATTTCCACTACCACCATACCAATTTCCACCTAATTATATCGGTAATCAACAAAACTATTGTTCTAGCCAAGGTAGCCAAGAAAGTACCCGAATTCCCTCCGGTTCTACTACCCCTTCTACTGCCACTCCCACTAGTCCCCCTACTAACCAATACACACATCATGAATGGTTAACCGAAACTGAGATGCTACTTTTGAAAAACCGAAGGAGTGAGGTATGGCGTTATTTTGTCCTAAGTAAAGATGGTGAACAATGGGCAAAATGTAAAACATGTAATAGTGTATTCACGGCAGTTACCAAAAACGGGACGGGACACTTATCTAGACACATGAAAGCTTGTGCAAAACCAGCTAGTGATCCAACCCAGCCCAAAATTTCCCAATTCCATCCATACGGCTTTACATACAACTATGAGAGGGATAGGGATGAACTAGGAAAAATGATAGTACACGCCGAACAACCTTTTCTTTTCTCGGAAAGTGACGCATTCAACACCTACATTAACAAAGCACTACAACCCCAACATAAAAGAATCTCTAGGAAAACCGTTCGTTCCGCAGCAATGAAAAATTTCCTAGAGTACAAAGTCCGGTTACAAGCCGAATTGAGTAACCTTAACTGTAGAGTATCTTTAACAGCCGATTCTTGGGATAGTGGTTATAAATATCACTATTTATGTGTGACTTGCCATTGGGTAGATGATCAATGGATGTTACAAAAAAGAATAATACATTTCAAAATGCTGGAATACCCACACACCGGCATTAACATTGCTCACCATTTAATGCAAGCAATAGACGAATACAACCTTCGAGATAAAATGATGTCTATGACTTTTGATAATGCAACCTCTATGACATACACAGCTAATCTTATCAAACAAAACTTAACCGATGTACTATTAGACGGTGAAGCTCTTCATACTAGATGTGTTTGCCATGTACTTAACTTATGTGTACAGGATGGAGTTCGGGCAATTGGCCCATACTACAGCAAAATCAGAGATGCTATTATGTCTATTAATAGCTCTAACATGAGATACCAAGAATGGAAGAGTTTTCTAAAACAACAAAAGATAAGGGTAATAAAAATTAGAACCGATTGCCCAACTAGGTGGAATTCCACCTATGACATGTTAACAAAGGCAATTGAGTACAAGGGCCCGTTAACATTATTTTACAACCAAAAATTTCCACAAAATGCTTTGTATGTTGATGATTGGAATAACTGTGAAAGATATATGCAATTTTTACAGTTATTATATAACATGACGTATTGTTTTTCTACTGTTTACAATCCTTGTGCTCAAAACTTTCTTTCTAATGCATGCTTACTCGCCCAACTTTTCGCTGATCATCGCGATCAAAGTGATTATGATCAGTATCTTCCAGCAATGGAAAAAAAGTGGCGTAAATATTATAGTCAGATTCCTTTGATTTATATTTTTGCTTCCATATTAGATCCTAGGCAAAAGTATGAAAACACATTTATGTTAGTTGACATTTACTTTCAATGCATGTTTCTTGACGATGATGTAGAAAACTATAAGACTAATGTGAAGGATCAGTTTTTTGCTTTATATAGAGTCTATGAAGCCAAATATGGCACCGTTCCTCGCTCAGGGCCTTCCCAACCATCTAAAAACGTAAGTAAGAAGGCCAAACATTTATTTTCACAAGCTACTAACTTGATTTCAAGGTTTTCAGGTGATTCATCAATCAGGAGAACGCAAAGCGACGTCTCGGAGTTGCAGATGTACCTGAGTTACGACTTCACCAAAGGCATGGACGACGATGAGATAAACAGCCTCGACCTCCTTGCATGGTGGAAACAACAAAGCTCGAAGCATCCAACTTTGGCGGCAATGGCACGAGACATTCTTGCTATCCAAGTTTCCTCCGTCGCCTCCGAACGAGCTTTCAGCGCATCCGGAAGGGTTTTAGACGATAGAAGAACAAGTCTAAAACCCGAAACACTAGAAATGTGCGTGTGTTTCAAAGATTGGTTGGATGCGGAAAATCGCTCACAAGACCGTTCTTACGACCACAACGACAACGAAGAAGGAACCTCCGCTTCCGGTTCGGGTTCGGCTAGTTCCCAATCTATGCAACTAGCCGATGACCTTGAAGGCGAAGGCGAAGACGAAGACGAAGACGAGCAAGAAGAAGGAGAAGAAGAATAGACAATTATTGTATATTGTACGATTTTAAAAATATCAATTTTATCATTTTCCAATTTTTGTTTAATACCATCATTGTATGATTTTTATCATTGTACAATTTTCTCAACTCAAGTAATAATAATATAAAGTACGCATTATTCACATCCAAAGTCCAATTTGCCTTTTTTCCCCGTTTTGTTACAATTTGTAAATTCATATTAAAAAAAAAATAAAATTATACCAATTACTAATAAATCATAAACATTAAATTTTAAAGTAATAGTATAAAGTAAATATATAAATATAAA